GAGTTTCCTAATTTAACTCGCATGCAACGCCCCGTTTCTACGTACACACTGAATTGACATACATAATCTGTGGCATTTCTCAATTCAGTAACACGATACCGTTTAGTTCAATGTGTAACGTAAAAGTATTGTATCAGTGCATATTGTCTACGTTCAATTTTGCTTTTTTTTATAACAGTTATTGCTTTCCTTAAAGTCGCCTTTTGAAAAAAAGTATATTTTAAGGTTAATAAAATACAAAGTAGCAATTATATTTAGATGAACACTCTTTCCATGGTTAAAATCTGAAAGTTGTTATATGATAAATGAATAGAATATGAGAAAATAACATTATGTTTTTTACTCTGTAATAAATCTCAATATATTTTCGTGCTGGTATTTACTCCTACTACTTAAATTAAGAAAATAGGCACAGATTACCGAGTTAAGATTACATCGACCCCCGAACGGCGCACTGCTAGGCAACCGGTGAAATAACGTAAACAATACGCCCAAATCTCTGCAAAGGTCAATGACCCTACTCGATTAGAAATTATGGACTAGAAAAAAGTTTAAAATATTTATGGACTAAGCTCCGAAAACCTTTGCAATAGAAAAGATCAACTTTACAGTATTTAGGCAAAAAGAAATGGGGTTTGAATTATTATTTACACTTTAATAAACCAAAACAACACCATTCTTAGGTCCCAACCGCCTTTAAGACGTTGTAAACAAAGTTTAAAATATGGATATTTTAGAGTAAAACCCATACGTCATAGCTAATACTGGCATAACCTTCACGCCGCTGCTGAAATACGATGGCTCTGAGCCAACTCTGCGTGAAATCGTGTCTCGAATAGGATACCATGGTGACGTCACAGGCAGAAAGGAAGACAACTCCGATTTTTTAAACTGACAAGATTTGAAATTCGTACTAGCATCAGTTCCTTTTTCAAATTTCAGTTTTTGGTTGAATACTGTTCGTTTAATTTTAAAACAACCAAGTTAGAGTCGTGTTAACAATTAAATATTTATTACTAAAGATATTAAAGAAAAAAAAAACACTAATATCGTAAAGAAACACCACGACGCATGTATGGTCGAGTGCTTCACGAAATCATTTTGAGTTCGTAGTAGAAACTGTTTATCTAATGTTGTCCCAGTTTTACGCACAGTCGCCTTCAAAGATTTGCGCTAATTTTTTTTCCAGCCAGATGTCTTGCGGCTGTTTTATTGCCATTCGAATGTGATTTTTTGACACCATAAATATTTATCCGATAAACTAATACTTCTAATAATACTTGAATGGCCTATTGATACCGGATACTAATATAAATGTTTAAGGATGCTTTAAAGGATGTACTCAAAAGAACAATTTTCTGCCAAAATATTCACTTTGAAAACTATAACCTATAAAATGTATATTTTCGGATAGTCGCAGTTGCATCATAGTTTGTCTTAAAGGAATTAACACTTAAGCTATGATTAGATTTGTTTTGTAGACAATAGGTTTCATTGACTCTTAAGGAATTTTAAAAGACAAGCAACATAAATTCATAGATGTAAAGCACTACAATCTTTTGTATGTAGTGAAAAATGTTATTTCTAACATAATTGTGCAGTTGTGACAATTTTACAAAGTTCCAGATATTAGAAAAAGATTGGAAAACCACAACAACAAATTTAAGAATAAGTACGTAGTAGATAGCCTATCATTTGATGTAACGATACAGTATCTACTGCATATATTGCGAGATATTTTGATATCGTCGTTCACTGAGAGTTGGGAAAAAAATAGATGTCGAAACAAAAATTAAACAAAAGTGTCGTCAACTTTCATTAATTTTAGGAATATAGCGTCTTGTTAACTTTAGCATCGACAAATGCCTTGTATCACAGTTTTAATCTAGCTTAATTTAAAGTTATCACCTACTAGACGAGTAAGATAAGCTATAAATAGTTTTAATCATCTAAAAGTTTAAATTGTAATACTATCCAGTGGTCGTTAAATTCGTTCTAATTATGCTAACAACTTTGTCCCTAAATCACCTCTACAACGAGATGCAGTAATTATCAACAATGAGAGTCCTGCCTGAATGGCCTTGAAAAAGAATCACGCTACTCCGTCGTTCACAAAATAATGAATATTAAGTACTTTTAATAGAACAATAGAATGATTCTGATAGATGTCATTCAGGTCTACCTTATAAGTATGTCACAAAATTAACTATACGTGTCTGTATAGGTAGTTCGCTTTGAGTTGTCAAAAGACCCTGATTTTGAACGTTGAATCCGGAACAAGCAAATTCGGATATTCTAATATTTCATATAATTTTGGGACATTTTAATAAACATCAGAAGTAATAATAATAGTAAGTCAAATAGAAATTAATGACATTAAATTTTAGTTCTGCCTATTACTAAGTTGGTACCTATAACAAATAATAGAGTTTGTTTAGTCGTGAAGCTGCGGAAGTCGAGCCCTTAGAACTAACTATAGCTAGAGTTTTGTTATTGTCTACGAACAATCATATTTGTAAAGTTAATAAAGAGATAATGTGTTTCTGTTTAATAAATTGTATTTAAAATGTTAACATCAATTGAACTCGGGTTGTAAGTAGGTTGGAATGCAAGGTAGTTAAACAGTTGTAGGCGGGTACGTAAAGGGGAACCGCATCAATGATACACAGCGGCAATAGAAGCGTAAATATTTTTTATTTTTATTATTCATGACGGGAATAGTTTAACGATGACGACGATTCATTACCTTGTTGACAAGAATCCTTTGCTAATCCTTTGATTCGGTGCACAAAATTCCACACCGTGTATCCGAAACGCACAAATTTTTAAATTTTCGTCGCGTTACGTCGCTCCCGCTAAAAAATGACATAAACAAAATGGCGACAGAAATGGCGCGTTTTATTTATCACTTATATTTATTATGGTTATAATTATTGGTGAGTAATATTAATTTGAGTTATTTTCGTTTCGTCGCCGCGGGAGACGACGGGCGGACCGCGCGGAGTGGACGTCGAGACTGAATTTTACTGTTCCGATGGGCGGCGGCAAACGCCCGCCCTGCTGCCGCGAACGCACGCGTCATTCAACAATGTATAAACTCCTGTGGCCTAATTTTACTAATGGGGTAAGCCCACGTTAATAAATTAAAAAATGTGTCTGGGACATTAGCAAAGAAGTACATTGGTTTAATTGGAATAAACTACGATAAAAGTTACAAGACGCGTGAAACCACGAAAAACACATAGCCAAACGCAAGTAAACTTACGCTAACACATTAAACTTTAGATGACTAAAGGAGACTACTACACTATAGCCGAAATAGATCTATATGTCATTTCACTTTCATTCACAGCTACATTCAGTATGAGGAATTTGAGACTTATGAGCGCGAAATTCATTAATTACCAAAAACATGCGAGAGTATTGACTCCGCGAAAGTCCGTGTAATAACTGAGATCTCATATCGTGAGCGGGTTTCTTCACAAAAAGTAAAGCGATAGTTAAGATGAAATGATATCATTAACATACAAAACGGCCGTCCTTGTAGAGAAAATGTTTCGCTACGCTACTGTACCCAGAATATAATAAAACAAACATACATACAAAACTATCCATTTAAATATATACGAAGAATCATTATTATTCCCTTATTCTCTTAATAAGAACACAATGAGATTTGTGAAACGTAGAAAACGCCTTGATATCCATAATATCCATCACCTAAACACATCTACAGGTTCAGAGGAATTTAATAAATTGACTTATCCATTATATAAACATACGTTTTTGTTTAAAAGTTTCCGTAGTAGAATGTGGCAATTATTCGGAAATATTATGCGGATCACTTATAATTTAATCTATTTATAATTGACTTAAGCCCTGTTTCACAATGTCTTAATAAGTGCTGGATAACTAACTAATAAACAAATTAACTGATACATAATATTTCCGGTCAAAATAGTATGCGTTTCACAGACGACTTTATTTGACAAATAAGTTCTAAGTATCTAATTCAGGGCAAATAGCAAATGCTTATATCAAATTAGTATTACAAATCCATCAGTAAAATTAGTAATTGTATGAACGTTGTTGTGAAACTAATTGCGGTTTCAGTGTGTAATGTTATCGAGGCGTGTTAAATCGAGCTTATCAGGGACCATTTACATACTATATAAGAATCTGGTGTGATGTACATTTTTGTTACTACGCTGTGTAGAAGTATTGGTCTTAAAATGGAAATGTAATGAGTGTGTGTAGATTTTTTTATATTTGGATAGGTGTAGTATTGGATTGACCCAGGTTTATGATGATGACGATAATGTGTGACATCTTGTTTTCAATAAGACATTCAATGGTTCAACTTTGGTGAGAGATTTTTTTCGGATGTCTTACTACGGTAAATAATAATTACAAATAATTCATCTATTCCATTTTTAGAAGTAGATAAAAGTAAATTTACACTAAAAGACTCCCTTAGGTTGCATCAAATGATTGAGCGCGGCCCTAAATGTATAAAAGTCAATTGTGGAAATTTATTACTCTACAAGAGTAAGCAAATGAACCTCTTGCATCTTGTTATCAATGGAAACAACAATTCGATCGTGTTACATTTTAGTAAGTGTTATTAATACTTTTGTTCCAAGTGTTATTTAACATATCGATAAAATATTTTATTTCGTGACGTATACAATGATGAATCACTCGAAATTCCGTTTATCATCAAGCTCGCCAGCCAACGCAAAAAACGATTACGTTCCAGTTACTGGTATATTTTAGTAATAAAGAACCAAGGAACAGTTTTTATTGTAGTAACTACTTTTTACAGAATACTATTAACTTAATTACAATTTTATAAATAAATTATATAAATACTGTAACTGTAATAAGTAATTATTAATAATTCAATGAATTATTAATTATTACTTATTTTCATAGGATAAATGTTATTGATAGCGTGAAACGGAATAAAGTTTTTTTCTGGTACAATTTTGACAAGTGATAAAGTCTGTCTTCTGCCTACAAAAGTCTGTCCGTCCGCGATTAGCCACTCCTATCTCGACGATACTTAATTAGATTTAATTTCAATAATCTGGTGCGTGAAATGTAGTGTTTCGTTTACAAAATTTGTGTATTGCGATGGCTTAGTTGTTTACAAAGTGTTTAAAAAGATATCACAATGTCTGGCAGAGGTGTGTTGAGGAAGCTGTTTTATAAAAAGCAGCATAATAAGGATGAGAGGGCGACTGAGATCGGAATGCCTACCAACGTGAAGCAACATATCCATGTAAGTAAAAATTCGGAAACTGGGATGTTGGAAGGTCTGCCGTCATCATGGTTGAGACTTATAAATACGCAAATCACACCCGCGGAACAAAACGAAAACCCGGACGCGGCCATTCAGGCTGTGAAGTTTCATATGTATACAATAAAGAAAGAAAAGGCCCAGGATGAACCATTCAAACCATTTGTGACTGAAGAAGCTATCACTGAAGAGGATTTGGAGATAGAGAAATTATTAGATAAGAAAAATGCCCACCAAAGTCAAGACTCTGATCTATCTATCGGTCAAAGTAGTGAAGAGGATGTTGCACCAAATGACAATTTCTCCCAAAGACAAACTATGCCCGCGGCACCTACCAAACATGGGATGAAAAAGAAAGATGCAATGATGGACCTTACAGCGGTGGTTCAAGATTTAACTTTAATAGGAGATGAGTCAGAAGAGAGCCCAATTCTACGGAAGAAGGAGATGATGAATGCAGCGCTGACTGATGAAGAAGTGTATGAGGAATTGAAAAGAATTTGTAATAAGGATGATCCTTATGTAAGGTTTGAGAGGATCAAACAACTTGGTGCTGGAGCTTCAGGTAATTTCATCCTATTATTAACTAAATCTAAGTTATTTCCTCACAGTCTTTTAATAAATTTTTTCAGTAAATAGTACAAATTTCATTTACTAAAATGTTCTTGTTTACTGCTATTATACAACCTCTTTGCTTTTGATAGAGATTGAATGGTAATTCTTATGATTTATAACCAACCAAATTAAAAAGAAAAAAAATAACACTTTTAATATTGTGCAATAATAAAAGCATTAGGAAGTTTGTAAAATGGCTCCTGACTTGTATTATAATGAAACATTATTAAAATTTACTTTTATTCTATCAAGTATTGACTGCAAAATTTAAATATTTTGCTATTAAATGTAAAAAAATACAATATGGATATCGGGTATTCATTGAACTGTTAACTCATGCATCATACATAACTTGATCTACTTTGAAGAAAGGAGTTAGGAGACACTAGCTGTGGCCCGCAACTCCTAAGAGCGGCATTTAATAAAAAAAAACATAATTAGTAGCCTATTAGTTCCAGACTATGTTCTATATGTATGCCAAATTGCATCAAGATCTGATATTAGTAAAACAATCATTGTATGATATATAATGAGAATCATACAGTCAGTAAGGTCTCTATTCTCTAATTTAGTACTACTCATTAATCTATGCTTATGCATCATTCTCTAATTAGTGTAACTTTTCTTATCTCTTAAAAATATTTATAGTAAAGTTAATTTGATAATGTAGATAAATATTTACACATATAATCTCATATGGCACTAACTCATAGTGGGCAAAGGCATGAATATTTGAATTACGGGATCAATATTATAGGAAATTAGATTATTTTTCAAAAATATTCAATTTAAATCATTCTATACTTCACAATTGTTACAAGTCTTTTCAAATATCTTGGAAGCTCAGGATCACCTGTGTGCTACTAAATCTAAAATTGTGCATAGCTTTTTGTATGATGTTCCATGTACAAGTCTTTTCAAATATCTTGGAAGCTCAGGATCACCTGTGTGCTACTAAATCTAAAATTGTGCATAGCTTTTTGTATGATGTTCCAAGGCACCAAGATACATGAAAACTACTATACCAGTTTTAGACTAAGTAGGAACCCAAAGTAAATTCCATAAGGCTGTTAAATTCTTTAAGAATAATTTATTTTGAAATAGCTTAAATGTATTCATATTACTCTCCAGGTGTTGTGTTCATCGCTATAGACAGCAAGGATAACTCAAGAGTTGCCATTAAAGATATTGATTTGACAAAACAATCCAAAAAAGATCTCATACTGAACGAAATCAATGTATTAAAAGGATTTCACCACAAGAATTTAGTGAACTTCCTTGATGCATTCCTAAGTTACGATCATCTTTGGGTTGCTATGGAGTTACTAGATGGCGGCTCGTTAACTGATGTTGTAACCGAAGTGGTCATGAAGGAAGGACAAATTGCAGCAGTTTGCCGTGAAACTCTTCAAGCGATTGCTTTCCTACATTCAAAGGGAACTATCCATAGAGATATTAAATCTGACAATGTGCTACTAGGCATGGATGGCACGGTTAAAGTGACTGATTTTGGATTCTGTGCCAATATTGTTGGTGATGAAAAGAGACAGACTATGGTTGGTACACCATATTGGATGGCACCGGAAGTTGTGACTAGAAAACAGTATGGTAAAAAGGTGGATGTTTGGTCACTAGGTATAATGGCTATAGAAATGATTGAAGGAGAACCACCATATATGAAAGAGACGCCACTACGTGCTTTATATTTGATAGCTGCTGTTGGTCGACCGAAGATTCCAAGATGGGAATCTTTGTCGCCTAATTTCCAAGACTTCTTGGATAAGTGCTTGCAAGTAGATGTGGATTTGAGAGCTACTGCAGACGAATTACTCGCTCATCCGTTCCTCGAATGCGCTATGGAATTAAAGACTCTAACTCCGTTGATTAAAGCGGCACAGAAAATTCTACACAAGAGTTATGAATGAAGATCCCTTGAATGGTAGTTACATTTTATATTTTATTACAACATTTTGTAGTTTCGCAGTTGTTTATGTTAGATTTGTGAGCTTAGATGATTAGGTTAATCAGACAATGACAATATAAACTTATTTAGATTGTCGGATGCTTGAGAACAAATGTCTGTCCATATAAAAATTAAGTGCCAATGAAAGGCTTGTATTTTTATCGTTATTTCTGGTCATTTGTACCAAAAGACTGCATCATTTGTAAACGAGCGGAAAGAAATTTTTGATAACGTTTACTCGTTTTATTATCGTTGTGCCGTAATATTAGGACACGTCATTGTGTAAATATTTTCACAACGAAATTACATACATCCGTCTTAGAGGGCAAGGTCGAGATTACTTTCAAAAGTATCCCAATGTACATGAACATGTGCATACAAGTACCGAAAAGATTAGTGCGAATTTTTACTTGTTTAGTTTACTAAAAACTCGCACTATGAACTCTTTGTTTAAGGAAATTATGGGTTATGATGACCAAGTTAAAGGTTGTTAAACCGATAAGGGATTATGACAATTTAGTAATAAAAATATAAGGAAACTACATGCACATTCATTATCAATTTGTGATAACATTTGTGCTATTTAAAAAAGAAATCGTGAAACAAATGCAAAAAGGAATTGAACTTTATTTAATTGATTATTTAGTTAAAAATATACTCTCGCGTTATTTTTACATCTGACTATAATTCCCATGGGTCAGGATATCGTTTTTAGCAGACTTCAAAAATAAGGTTATCAATTCTTCTATTTTCTTGACACGCTGTAGCTCGAGATCAATATGACTGAAGTCATTCCAATATATTTTGCCATCCATATCCATATTATATTCAAATCCTTATTTTGTTCCCAAGAAGATAATTTTAATAAAAAAGAGATATTTATGAATCAAACACCATAGAGCGAAAAATCTTTTTTATAGCGTTTGTTCTACAATCTACATCATTCAATGTCAGTCCAGCATCCGATTCACAGACTCATTATAATGGTGTGACTTATTATTTCATTGTATATGAAAGGCAAAACTTCGTAGTTTGATCATTCGAGTACCCATAGCTGTTAAGCTCAGTCACAATAAGGACCCCATAAGATTATAAAAGCGCGAGAGAAAACTTCACTAGTCTAACGCGTTGTCACATAACATCGGAACGCGCTCTACGATTATGTTTTATCATATAAAAGATATGCTATCATCTCCTGATATTGATATTCATACATCACAATGTACAGTAGGCGACATTTAAGTTGGCACTACGAGAAGAGTGAGACTTCGGCGAAGATCGGCTGTGTTCGGTTTTGAATGTTGTCTCTGTCACATGTAGAGCGTTATCTCTGTCGCACATTGCATATGTTATTGACGTTACATTACGTAATTGCCATAGACAAGGACGACAGTTTTTAAAACCAAAATCTTGGTCCTGCCTTGTGCCGACTTAAATGGCGCGTATATAACGCTGTCCATGGCGTTATTGAAATAAGATGAAATTGTGTCATGTACAATTGAATGCCATAATTATTTTATAGATATTGAATTTATTCTAAATTAGTCATAGGTCGCTTGTTATTTGTGCTCTTGATTAGTTACTTAAGACTTCTATTTTATAATCGTCCAAATTTACGATAAATTAGTTTTTGAAAAGGTTATTTCCATGAAATACAGAAAATTGTAAAAATATTTGAACTTGTAGCGACTCCTCTCCTGTCATTTAAAAACAATAGAGAAATAATAAACTCTGAGAGCATCATTTTTTTTAATTAATTATCAGCATATTAAAAATATACATGTAAAGGTTCTATAATTACAATTTATAATTACAACGTATTTAAGTCGACTGTGAATTTAATATTTCAAAGGTTTCCACGTATTTTTTGAAGGACTTTTAAGACAATAGAATCATGGGTTTGGATTAAAGATTACGCTGTTATCTGTAGTTCCGGGAAAACATTTTGTCTTATTTTTAAACGACAAATACATAGTTTAATGTTTAATACAGTTAACATAATCCTTTTTACTTTCAAACTAAACTGACTTGGCAGATGTTTTTAACAAGCTAATTGTGTGTGAAGTTACATGTAGGTAGTCGGATAAAACGTCACATTTCATGGTCAACGCGTTGTGAATTGACTTAATTGAAGATTACATTTGTAATGAGACTTCTCGTAGTTTTTTTTTCATTGTTACAAATGCTAAAGTCACCTTCAGATTAAAGTTTTATAATTTGAGTACAAAACCATGGTTTGGAGTTAGTCAGAGGTGTTACAGCAATCATGGTGGACTCCTTTTTAAGCCTGTTCTTTTTATATGAACTATTTTTAAAATCTCAACAAAAACAAAAGGAAAAAGTGACAAATATTATTTAATGGAAATAACCTTTGTCTATATAAATTAAGAATATTGCGATTTTTTATTAATTTACCAAAAAAATATGTACATATAATTATATTTGTAGCTAGTCCGTTAAGTGATTTTATAAGTGGCATTTTTGTATACCGTTTTACCAAATATGTATTTTTGTATGTTGCATACAAATATTTTTTGATAATCAATTTCTTTTACGATATATTTGCTAAGCTAAAGAAATACTGATTTCCTTACAAAATAGAGTGGAACAAATTTACGTATAATTCAACAATAATTTAAATAAATAGACTTTTATTTTTAAACACTAAGTTAACACTTCACTGCCGGTGAATGGAGTCAAAAATTCAATTTATTTTTTATAGGATACTTTTTAAAAGCCAAGAAATATGTTTTTACTAACCATTTTTTTAATTAGGAGCGTGCGCGTCACATTACATTTTTTTCATTTGCCTTAATAGGTCATCTCAAGTTATTACGTTTAGCATTTTTTAAATAACTGTATTTAGTTTATTCAGAGTGTAATTATACTAATAAAAACTGTTTATCATTTCACTGGATCGAGACGGTTAACTTTTTTAGTCGTCGATTAAAGATTGAACTGATTAACACATTCCATGCCACTAAGACTTTTATGATGTCTTTTACATTTCGCTGAACTTACTAATTTAGTGACTGCATTGGAATAAAGTTGAGGTGAACTTGCTAGGCGAGTCAGCGGCAGTGAATGTGTTAAATGTGAAAGCCTTTTTATATAAATCTTTGTACTGCATACTTTTACATTCTACACGCTACTGTTTTTTCACATTCCGGTATTGATTCAACTGACCAATTATTTATTTTTTATACTTCTTTACTATTGCGTAGAACTTTTAGGTTACTTCACAATTACTACTTTTAGCTTAAATTATTATTAAGACTGTATTTTGGCTCTGTGCTTCTAATACGTATGTAAAAAATACAATTGTCTTCAACTATGTGGGAATATTTTTTGGTTTGTTTTAATTAAAAACATGTTATAGACGCGAGTAAATTATGAAGGTCGAATGGCAACACAGGAATATTTTTAATTTAAGTAAGTTATCTGTCACGCGTGTGGCGCCACTGTACTTCCTTTTTGTGCCGCTTTACAAATAATTTGGTCAGACTATACTCGAAAAAAAAAAGAAGTATTTGATTCCAATTTTGTATACTAAACTTGATATTTGTTTGTTATATTCATTGTCAACGTAATTATACTCTGTAAAAATATAAGAAGATATTGAAAATCCGTTCAGTTGAAATGTTTTTATAATTAAGAACATTCTGAAGTGTCAAATCAACTCGTCCAGTACATTTAGTACGACGTATAACGGGCCCACTATATTTTGGTAAAATTTAGTATTAAAATAATGTATTATTCCCGTATTTGTTTTATCTTTAGCCATATTTAACTTTAAGGTTAGCTTTTTGAAAATGTATTTGACTGTTGGATGACACGCGCGTTGCTCTATGCCAGGAGTGCCTGCTTTATTACTCTATGGTAAAATTAAGTAGTTATAAAATCTTTAAAAAAAAGTAATAATTTACGCAGTGTATAAACAGCACAACGAAAAATTGCGTTAAATTGAAATTAAGCCGCTCTATTTATAATTTTGTACACACCAATGACACTTTTTGAACATTTTATTACATTAGAGATTTGCCTATTAAATTATTTTTATAAAAGACTTTGTATTATTTATCTACAATACAATCCAAATAATATCCTTTAATCCCTATTTGCTCGAAGTTAATATTATTTATCGACCATAGACGGCCATTGTTGTACCGTCATGCATGCTTAGAAAATCTTTATAATATAAGAAAAACACAATAAAACATAACAATATTTAATTCCATAAATCAATTAAATATGTCTTCTCTTTTTGCATATCACAAACAAACTTTTCAGCATCCTCTTGCGTTAAGTCAGAGAAATTGACTAAACACTTCACAAATGATTCCGTGACCTGAGTTGCCATTGTTTTCACGTCACCGCAAACATAAACTAACGCGCCATTTTTAAGTAGCTCGGAAACTTCTTTTCCATTACTAAGTATTGCATCCTAAAAAAAAGTGAACCAATTTTAGACTGCATAGGATCATATTATCACGTAACAAAGTCGCCGTGTTAAAAGTTAAAAAATCTAACATAAAAAATATATAATGACCTGTATATATTTATCTTCACAATCATTGAATCTAGAAAAGACTGTCGTCAGTTTAGTCAAAACACCAGAATCCTTAAAATCGTGCAATTCATCTTTATAAATAAAATCTAAATCAGGATATCTGCAGCCAAAAAACAACCAAATAATATGTCCATCTCTTTCTTCTTCTTTCATTTGTTCTTCAAGAAAACCTATATAAGGTGCAACTCCAGTACCTGGCCCAATAAGTATCATTGGCCTTGAAATTTTATCTGGAAAACTAAATTGATTTATATTCTTCCTCAAATATATAGAAACCTTTTTGTCCATCATTGTTTCTTTTTTATCTGTGATTGTTATATTTCTCATCTTATCTTCAAGACTTTCATTTATCAAACTTTCTAACCAGCCAGTAACAAGACCTTTTCTATTATAACCTATATTCATTACAGAGAAACATATTTTTATTTCATTAGGATTAATTAAACTACTGTTTACAATTGAATAAGGTCTAGGCAATAATCTAGGTAGGTGTTCTAAAATAACTTCAACAGGTGGTTTGCAGGTTTTGAAAATTTCAAATAAATCCAACATACACAAATTTTTATTTAATATATAATTTGTGTATGATATGGAACCTTCTTTACTGCAAAGGTACTCAAGTACTTTCTTTTCTGTTTCATCTTTTGTATACCTTGATAAAGCAAGCAGGAACAGCTGAAAGAAAAAATAAATAATATTTAAAAACACATAAATACAGTTACACGAAACTATATTGATAAAACTGTTAGTGCCCATTAAGAAAATGCTGTGAAAAAAAATTATCACTACTTTAAAAAGGCAATGAGTGAAATTATATTCAGACTAGCTGCCGCCCATGACTTGCGTGGAACCAAATAAAAAAAACATAGTAGCTTTTATGTCTTCTTTCAGGCTATGATCTACATCTATGCCAAATTTCAGCAAGATCATGCAGCCATTCTGGAGATACCTTCTAACAAACATCCATCCATCCAAACTTTATTTAAAAAATTAAATTGAGAAAAACTTACTTTTTTCACAACACCCCTTAAATCAATACAATGTGTAAGAACATATCTTAGTGTAGACTTAACAGGGACATGTGGAGGTATTTTAGCTGCCTTCTGACCACTGTTAACAGTTATAATGTAACAAGAGTCCACAACATCAGATAATTCTAAACAATCTATAACACAACTGATTTCTTTATCAGGATTTCTCGGAATAACACCTATGGTATCACCAGGCCTGAAATTTAAATTACTACCCTGAAAATTTGCAGTATAATTAAGTTTATTTCATTAAGTAACCTTTGTCAGTGTTCAATGGATTTTGTTTTTATTAATTGAAAAATTTCATCAAAACCGAAATGTTAAAGGAAACAATTATAATTTTGCATATTATTATGAAATATTTACATATGTAATGTAGCAAGATATGAAATTCTATTTATTTTGTTTTGGTAAATAGAGTTTAAAATTGTACATAACTAAAATAAATCTCAATAATACAGTCCTTGACCCTCAAGACACTAAAAGATGAATCACCAATGACTAAGAATGAAGAACTATTGAAATATACCTACCATTACATCGAAGGTCACTTCATACACTGCCTTACAATCCTCATGGTCTGCTGTGAGTCGTTTCCAGTTATTGATACCAGCATTAATAATACTACTTGCAGCAAAAGGTAATGAAGGTTCTGCACCATTATATACCGTTTCTTTAATCTAAAACAAAGTAAAAATTCTTTCTTATCCTACTATCTTGAATATCAGAGATAATCATATAAATTTAAAGTTATACATGTTACAAAAACTTAGTAAAATATGGCAAACTTACATCAAAATTTCCAAAATCAATTTTCAAATAGTTTTGTTTCAATGTTGGTAAATTAAGTGTCGCTTGTCGCGAAGCTTCAAGAAAAACGTCTTGCAAATTGTGTAACACAACCATTTTAAGAAAATATCATAAGATTTCTTGCAAAAATAAGAAGCAAACATCAAAAAGATACACCGAGCATGGTTAATGACATTGACAATGACAATTGAAAACTATTGTCACTTGTTGACATTGATATTAACATTTAGTGATGCCTGTTAAGTAGCGATAGCCGAAAAGAGAACCGTTACTTAAATATTTTAGTCACCTAAATTTTTTTTTGTGAAAATCAATGAAAATAAGTATGTCCGGTACACGTTCCGTTACGACTAAATATTTTAAATCATTGACCGATTCTGAAGTGCAATTATAATTCGATCATACCAATTTATTTTACAGATTAACTATAATTTTGTTAGAATTGCATACTTTTCTCATTCAAGATTTTCATATTCGACCACCTACGAAGAGTTCATCCAAGTCTATATCGGAATGAAAGATAAGTTTTAATATAAAGTTTTATTTCCTGGCTAGAAAGTTAAAATACTAAATGAACAGAAGAAAAATTATGTAAATAATCATCATATACACAAACTTCATTTCAGTACATTATTTTGTAATTAATTTGCGATACACTTTTATGCTTCCTCCTCGCCAGAAAACACTGAAATTTAAACAATAGAAACAGAAATATGTTATTCAAAAATTTAAGTTCAGTAAATGTAACTACCTCATAAATAGCAATCTTACCTTCAATAGGTACTCCCTGGTCTTCCGTAACACCTTCAAGACATTCTGGACAAACTGTCGTGTCACAAGGGTTGGGTGTTGAGGTCGGGAAAGCGGGGGTTAGTTCAATTGGTGGAGGCTGAAACACAATTTATCAAATAATTGTAATACATCAGGCTACAATGAAACGATAGTGTATAATAAATTGAATTCTTACTTCTAAGCGATACAAATAGGCTAAACGACAGGGGTCCCAGGTGGTACAGAGAGTGGCGTTATGCATCATGTCTTTGCGAGGCTCGTCGCCGAAATATTCAAACGTTATTACGATGTTGTTGTCAATGGCGCACATTTTTAAAAACTCTTCAACAGATACCTGGAAATGAAAAAGAAGTAAGGTAAGGTATTCTTTCTCCATTATTCCCCATTATTTTAATAAATTATAAAAGTAAAAATCATTTTATAATTCTACATTACATGTGAATACCTTAGTTTTGTTACCACAATCTAGGGTGCCGTTCTGAAAATAATTATTTTCTCTATCACCATTCCCGAGACAAAACATCCAACCTTCGTGAAAGGAATACTCAATTGGTGCTACTTCAGCTTCGATGCAAGGATCAACTGGTACAGGTATTGAAGGTTTTCCGAATGTGCATTTACGTTCGTGCATATTTGCTTGCAGCCGGTATGCATCTAGGTCAGGCTCTGAACCCTCGGGGCATTTATAGAAATTACCTGAAAATTAGTATTCTTGTTAATTTCGCTGGTAGTAATACTTTGAAACTCTACGTGTAACTGCGGACACTCAAGATTGCTTTTTAAACGAAATTAAATAATAAAGACATATTACTTTTTTAAAAATTTCGTGGGCTTTTTAAACTTTCCGACTACTTCCAGAACACCGACACCAGAGTTTCTTTCTGTTAAAGAAAGACTCCTGATGGGTCTGAAAGTACTTGTGATTTTTAATTAGTGTGCTAAGACCTATATTTAATAATGACACATTACTGTTCTGTATGATGTAAATAGTCTTCTGACGGGCACTGATTACAGTCCGTACGGTGAGACCGTTTCCGCCAGTTTTTATGTTTTCCATCAGTACTTCTTGTGCGGCTCTCTGCTCACGCGACCATTTAGCTGCTTCTTCAGCCAAAATTTGTCGACTCACTTTACCTTCAGATTGTGTAGACTAAACAAAAGACATATTACAAAAGGAATGGTTGAATAACTTAATTTTCGTTCAATAATAATGACTCATGCTTTGGTAATTAAAACTTACTTGAGGAGGACTCTCCATAATCACATGGGGACGACCAAGGGTATGCTGCCAAATAAGTTGTGCCGCTACTTTATGCTTTGAACTATGATGAAGTGGTTGAATTTGTAGAATTGCATACCACGCCAATTCTCTATAAACACTGTCCGGAAGATAACCTGTCTGGTGATGGAAAATTAAATTATAAACATCAAAATCGTGATACAATTACTACGTTACGTGGTTTCTGATTAATTTAAGCTTACCGGCATAAAATCCATGTGCCACTGCAATGAAAGCATTATAATTTAATAAAAAGTACGATACAATTGTTTTTCTCTTTAAATAAATGTACCAACCTCTTCTTCACCAGCTTCTGTTCTACCAAACTCTGCAAAATATCATTTTGTATTAAAATTTTTGAAAATAGTTGCGGTCGTTAATGTATTGACTAGATTTATCATATAAACCTTACCTTCGTCTTCATTTTGGCAATATACGAGCATTAACTATGTAAAAAAAAATATTATTAAGAAATTTTATTATGAAAAAAAAACTATTGAAATTAATTTAGTAAAATACTGAAACCTGAAAAATAATGAGTGCTATGCATATTTCTTTTAAAAATAGTTGCATTTTAATATTTCCTACAAAACATATGGATATTTACTACTGCATTCGTTACCAATGTAATAAAGCATTTCATCTACTTCTTGTTAAAAATAATTGGTTGAATTTTTGAAAACATTTCTATCGCCCGATAACGACTCGTTACGGAAACGTAGTTAAGATAAAACGAAAATAAATACACTTATAATTTAGCGAACTTTAACTAATAATTTGACGGAGTTAATAAGGACATGGGGCATATTTTCATCTAAAAATATTATACATTTCATAAGAAATTTTTCAGTACGAATGATCGTTTTAAAATATCGTAAAAATCGTAAACATCTTGTCATTTGCAACACTGCACATCCCTATTGCAGATTTGACATTTTATATTAAACAAGCTATCTTCTCGAAAAAGGTGTAATTCTGAAAATTACTCATTGACTCATTATATGACATAAAAGTAATTAATTAAGTTTTTGAAATGAATACATTGGATAAACAATTAGCCGATCTACGAATATATGCTAACGAATTGGACGCAAAGCTTCAAGATGATATTAATTCGGCTAAAATAAAACCTTCTATTCCGCCCAAAAAAAGTAAAGCGCCGCAGCCTCAAATTCCACAAAGTTACACAGTAAAATCCGCGTGCGAGCCATCATATTCCTCAAGATTAGAGTACGGAAGCCGAACAAGTTCTACGTATTCAAATTTAGTGCCCGTAAAGAGTTGCATTGTGAGAAATTCTTCGCGACTTCGCAGCGGTGATGTACTTTTGTACAGTAATTTGCTACCTCCGGGAGGTACGAACCATGTTTACTCTAATATTCCTATGCAGCGTACATCGGAGAGTATCTATGGTGATCGCGACGCGAGATCTGAAGTGTCTAGAATAAGTGATTTGGGTGCTCAGTCGAATTACAGCGAATTACGTCGACCAGGATCGGCTTACCCGCCTTCTTCGGCGTCCGTTAATGCTCAAGACTTCTCTACTTACGGTGGTTCACAGACATCGTCAACTTATGAGTCTTTATATGAGCCTATAAATCCAAGACCTTGTAGTCAATTATCTGGTACATCATTGTATGGAGGGTATGTTGGCACCGCTGAGCCCACCCCGGAGCCTGATGATGCACTATACTGTGGTAATTGTTACCGTTGTGGGGAGAAAATTATGGGAGAGACCACTGGGTGTACCGCAATGGAAAGAATATATCATATTAAATGTTTCTGCTGTCAGCAGTGTGGTATTAATTTACAGGTATGTAGTATTTCCTAATTTTAAGAACGAAACTGTTTAGGGAACATTACTCTAAAATGTTTAGTCCATAAGTAATGGAATGAAAATAATATTTCTCTCTATATATTGTATTTCTTTATAGTTAATGGAACATAAAAAAAATATTAAACTGTGTTCAAATTACAACTCACAATTTAAATTTCATTATGGGATATTATGCCAAGTCCCCATTGCAATTTGTTTCTTTAAAAATGTTATCTATTAGTGTAAACTGACGTATGTTATTCAAACAACATAAAACATTTTCAGGGACGCCCATTCTATGCAGTGCAAGGTAAAGCACTTTGTGAAAGAGACTACCTAGATACATTGGAAAAATGTTGTGTGTGTGGCGACCCTATCTTGGACAGGATACTGCGAGCTACTGGCAAGCCATACCATCCTCGTTGTTTCACTTGTGTGGTCTGCCAGAAGAGTCTTGATGGTATACCATTCACTGTTGATGCGGTTAACCGAATTCACTGTATTGAAGATTTTCATAAGAGGTGAGTGTAAAAATTTACTATAGAAATGTTTTAAAATCTGCAGTATTTCTTTATAGCTTAGAAAATAGCCTCAAAAGTGGCTCATCACCATGTTTATTCCTCATCTTTGTAATGAAATTTTAGGTACGCTCCCCGTTGCGCACGTTGTAGGGAACCTATAGTGCCGGAAGGAGGCGCGGAAGAGACGGTCCGTATTGTGGCTTTGGATAAGAGCTTTCATTTTGCATGCTATGCGTGCGAAGACTGCGGTGCCTCACTCTGCTCCAGGGAGGAGGGCAAAGGATGCTATCCACTGGACGGACATTTATACTGCAAACAGTGCAATGCAAGACGTATACAAGATCTGTCAAGGAATATTAACTAAGTAAACATCAATGTATTTAATTTCAATTCAACTCCGATTAATAGAAATAAGGAATGGCAAATTCTATATATAGTGGCCATTACTCTGTCTCTTTTGTGGTAAAAGTATGGAACTGCTTTGTAGGTAAGACAAGTTTGATGACTATTTAGTATGTAAAAAAATGAATTCATAGTATGTTGCATTGTTGGAAGGGATAGGATATCTCACATTAATGAAATGATGTGCAGGTTTAAATTAAAATAAAAAATTGTTATTAGCAATTGTAAAGTCATAGATACAGCTTAATTATTATTACGCTTTAAAAAATCTCTTGATACATTTGTAGAAAAAGTTGTGCTTTGAACTTTAGGATTATTGTAACATGTTTTGTGATTGTGGCATTTTACATAAGTCAACTGTATTAAAATATTACTAGAATATTCATGTTCTTATATACCCAGTTTAAATATATATATATATATTTCCTTTTAGGAATTGATTTAGTATGTATTCGAAAAAAAACAAGTTTTTACTAAACAATTGTACCAAGTATTAGGTAGAAAAATGCAAAATTGATCACTGCCACTTGTAAACAACTTTTGCTGTTACCAGTTTTTTGAGAATATAAGTGTAGATAATTTTAGAATAAGAATTTCTCCTGTTATTTAAAATCACATTTACATACTTATAGAAGTTTACACTCAAGTCATTTTATGCAAGTTCTTGCTTAGAAAAATGATGTATGAATAATAAAGATTCACAATTCTTCTTCTTCTTCTAGTGCCTCTTCAGTCTTGAAGGTTGGCCGCTAACTTGGAATATTTGGTTCTGTAATAAAATATAAATGTAATACACAATAGTGAATGTTAAAGTATTGTAGTTTTATTATAACTTTATGTACACAAACATTATCTGACAGTGTACTTTTGAGCCAATTTTGGCTTGATTAGAACTTTTAAATTCGCATGTTTGTTTGAGACCCAACTTAATTGTTTTTTGTATAAATTATTCGCTAATTTGGACGTTATTTTACTTAAAAGATTGATAAAGTTGATTTTTTATCGCTTTTTATGTTAGTGTTGGCCATAGTTAATGTAAATGAGAAATAATTGACGTTGGAGTAAAATAGATAAAGATTGTGAAATTATGCAGAATATTTGAACAGTTTGTTAGCCTGAGGTTTTCTATTATTATTTAATCCGCCTATTTACTGTAATTTACATTGTTTTATGTTACTTAAATGACGACTGGATAATTTATATGATTTTACGATTACTGACTTTTTTCATGATGAATCTTGTGAAATTATTAATTTTTCAATGTAAAAAATGTATTTTTCTATATTTAAATATGAATTTAAGAAAGTGCTTTCTTAAAATATTGAAATTTTATGTTATATAGTTGAATTTAAAATAGTTAAACAGGAAAATAAAAGTAAGCATCATTCCTGACGCATTTATTTTGCTTTACGAATAAGGCTGTGTATCATCACAATAGAACCATATTTGCAGTATTAAATGATTGTGTAATTATAATATGATATGTAACTTGTATTTAGTTATTTTAATAAGTTCTATGTATTGTAAATGGTGCCATTTTGTAGTGATTATTAGGTTGTGTATTGTTTTTACAATTTTAGCTTTTATTGTTAACGTACTTAAGTATTCAATTGTATTAAAATAAATATTATAATCTGAATTTTGTTTATTTAATAGCGCAAAAATAAATATCCACTCAACCGAAAATACAGACCTATGTAGCAATTGTCAAAATCAGCTGATATATAAATAAAACGAACATACAACTTATCAATTTTTTAACTTTTATTATTTTTTGTATACACTAACATCCACGTCGTCACTAAACTACACTTACAAATACCAAGAAGACTTTGGCTTCCCTTCAAAGTAAAAACAATAAAACATCCACTTCATTTAATTTACATTTTTGTTTATTCTTTTACAAAACAAAGCGATTCTTCAAACGATACGCATGTGAACTATTTCACGAAACAAGGAAAATAATTCATCAAGTATTAGTAATTTTACTTTCAATGTCCATATTAATGCCTGGTTTTCATTATGCCAGTACAGTACCTTTCAAAATCAGAACTGGCATAATGTAAACATAACCTAGCGCCAGAGGCAAGGCAGTCCTTGCAAAGCTTGCTACTGTATTGGCAAAATGTAAACAGCTTTACTGGGATAGTGTTTAGTATTTCATGGGTTTCTATGAATTTTGTCCTACTTATTTGGCTATTTGCAAACACTGAAATAAAAAAGGGGTAAATTAAATATTTTTAAAGGTTTGAATTATCATTTGTAAACATTTTCAATTTATTATTCAAACTCCACCCAGAACTGAATAAGTCCCATTAGGCACAAACAAAACATAGCCCAAACTTGCACAAACCAAGCAATCCCCGCAAGTATCACATTTCCTTTAACTTAAAAATTACTTATTTTACATTACCTAAAATACAACACACTGTATAATTTATGACAGCTGATAGCCAGTTCACATGACGAAGGAAAAATGTAGAATTCTACTGTTGTTTACACGTAATACATATTTTCTATCCCTTTCATTCGTTTTGACAAAATAAAGACAATATGTAGTATAGTAATTTTCAGATATTTTAACGGCTCTTCTTGCGCGTTTTTGTGCAGAACAAATTTAGGTATAGCGGGATGCGGGGGGAAGACACTGCGCAGATAACCCTGAGCCACCAAGATATTTGAAAATAACTATAATACTAATGTCACTGCAGTCAAAGTTTACAGTACAGCTTATTGTGTGAAGGGAATCATAATGCATTGTTTACACATCAAACATGTTAAATGCAATTTTTCATTATAAGGGCATGAAATAATTGACCAAAGTTTTTATACTTTCCCAAGAATATTATTGAGATAAAAAAAAAATCCCAGTTACATTATAGTTTCCAACACATGACTTAGGAAATTCTAATATTTGTTTATCAAAGACAATAAGTTCTATACCCATAGATCAATTATTGAAAAAAGAAAAGTTAACACCAAAGTCACATTATAATAAACATTCAAGATGTCCAATGCTAAATAATTTGAATCATGTAATTTTGAATACTTACGAAATTTTAGGAAAATAACTCTTTCAGAGAATCCCAGGCATTTCTGTACAGTCTATAAGTTTTCTATTCAGTGCCCAAATATTACAATATTTACATAATCGCTTTGCGTTACTCAGGGCTATAAAAACTATATCTTATATATAAATGCCCAATTTACATTATTCCAGTCCAGCAATATAAGCGCTGGATTTGTATTTTCAAATAGAAATCTGTTAATACTGGTATGCACATTTTTTATTATATTTCTAAAAATTTCCAGTAAAGTCAAACGATAATTTCTATTGCTGGACTGGAATAATGTAAACTAGGCATAACTTATACATGTATAATACACACTTTATTGTTTATCGTCCTTAACTTATATTTGCTTCAATTAAATGTTTTTAATAAGAACAAAACCATCTTTGGATAAGTAATACAGGAAAGCCAACAAAGTTACAAAAACAATAAAAATTCTTTGAATAATCCAGATAAAGTTGAAAAGAAAAAATGAAAAATAATTTTAAATAAAATTTTTATAACAAAATATGCGACATTTTTACATTTAAAAGAGGTCAAATACTTTTTCTTTTATAATTTAAATCATTTTGAACCATTCAAGGAATGTAAGGGGGATCAACGTACACTGGTTTATCAACATTATATACAAGCATCAAGGAACAGGACATCTTATAATTATTATATTACAATTTATACAAGAAATTACTTCATTACAACTATTTTAAATCAATTTCTTAACAATAATAAAGCTTTAACAGTTCAAGCAATGTCAATTGCTTAAAGATTTTTACTTAGTACTTGTAAAATAAAACAAATTAGTATTGGTGAGACAGGTGGATATTTACCTAGATATCTAATACAGAAATACTCGTCCAAAATATATATAAAACTGGTTATTTTTTAGACAAACAGAAATATTATGTTTTTTACCAGACTGACAACACAGTAAAGTTTTTCACGGGCTTGTTTTTAAGAGTTTAAAGTTTAGTTAAGTGTTTTTTAGTTAAAAGTTTAGTTACTAAACAATTAAAGATAGTTTTCACACTGAACTGATTTTAACCAATGGTTTTACACTATATTTATACAGTGTCATATTAGTACAGTTAATTTCGGTTATTTAATGACTGAATACCAATCAAGTTATTGTTTTAAAGGTATTTTAGTAGAAGTCCAAAGTTGAATTCGTGGTTTTTGATGATAGAAAAGTTACTAAATAATAAATAAGAATTCATTTGAATATGTCTATAGTTATCAGAATGATTACTTCAACATTTTATGTTACCTCTAAAATATTGATCTATTATATAAATGCATTATTTTTGTTACCATCAACTTCTTTTTAAGAGAAACTTTACTAATAAAGTTCTGCATATTTAATTAATGAATCAAAGTCAAAAATTTAATAAAATCCAACAATTTTGAATTTGAATCATTTGTACATTTATGTCCTAAGCCATTAAGGCTTTAAAAAACATTTTAGTTTTTTTTTTAAATTATACTTATATCACCCTTGCAATATTTAAAAAAGTGTTGCCGTAAACCCTTATTTGTCACATGTCAGGAATTAGATCAAAATTTATATTGTTTTTACAAAGTATCTCTTATTTTGTATCTAACACATTAGCTTGGGATAAATTGTTGTAAAAGTTACACATAACAAAGAAATACATAAATTGGGTGCTAAAGTGCCAAAGTTAACTGAATTATGACCATGTATTTATTGTTTATAATAATGATAGTGAAAACATTTAACTCACTGTTTGATCAATTTATATTTTAACATGACAAATATAAAATTTATTTTTGAGTGGTATCTTGTAATTACCAAATTATCTACTTTTTTTCCAATAGCCTGAATTTTTTGTGTCCATAATAGTTTTTGAGTGATTTTATCAAACTTAGCTTGCATTCTCTGACGGCACAATCATTTTGATTCAAGGTATTTAAACATCTTTAATCTACTTGACCAGACTAAAATTGAACTTAGGAGATAGACAGAGATTGCAGACTTTTCGTTAACACTTTAGCTACCATGTCGGACTATATGTCCGACAAGCCCTACTTCCATACAACACCACGCTGTGGCTTGTCGGACGCTTTTTAATCGAATTGTTGTATACAGCGTGACCTGCAAGGCCCCATAAAGCTTATAAACAGCAGGTCAATTTTTTTCGTTTTTCGAAAAATCATTCTAGCAGCTAACGTGTTTACAATCAAATAGTACAAGTTAACTGCAAAAAGCTTGGTTTCAGTAGACAATGGACATCAATGTATCAACAATTTAAACACTAGTTAAATTTAACCATCACTATCTCACCATAACACTGACACTTTGAATTATAAACACTTTGTAATTATTTATCTTCATCTGAAGCCACTTTTCCGTCTTTCCACTCGTTCTGAACCGGGGTTCCACTCGGCGTCATCAGGGTCGTCTCCATCGAAGATCAGCGGAGACATTGGGGAGAGACTACTGCCGTCCTCCATATCTACATCCTCGAAACCGGAGTGCGAGGAGCTACCCCAGTGGGTCGGTGGACTGGCGGGGCGGTACTCGGGCGGCATGGTCGCCAGCATTTCTTGATAAGTCGCCTCGGATAAAGGGAAACGCCTTGGTGAGTACGGTCTCACTGTCTGAAATAATAAGATTATTAATTATTTGTTATGTTGTGATAGTTTTTTATAGGATTCATAGTTAGAACTTTTGGGATTGAACTTATTTAAACAAGCATCGGGATGTTAAAGTTTTAAAAGCATAATAAGATAATGCAATGACTAGCCTCGTGTACTCGTTGCGGCGACGGCGCTGGATCGGGGTGCTGGGGTAGCAACAGGGAAATACTCTGCGACTGGGGTATGGAGTGAGACTGGTATATTGTTTGGGACTGGGATATTGTTTGGGACTGGGACATTGTCTGAGTCTGGGAGATTGTCTGGGATTGGGACATTGTCCGGGTCTGGGATATTGTCTCGGAATGGGACATTGTGTGGGTCTGGGAGATAGTTTGGGACTGGGGAAGAGACTGGGCTTGTGGATCCTCGTGGTTCGAGCGACGTGAGCGCTGCTTGCGCATGTACCGACTGCGTTCGCTCACTTCAGCGCGCGAGTGCCGCGCTACCATCGCCGCTTCCGAAATGTCTTCCTCCTGAAAATTATTTTTAATATACATCATTGCAAATCTGTAAATTAAATTATTAAGGGATTTGTAAGTAAAATGGTGAAGAACACATACCTCACTATCTTCAGACTTTCGACTGGACTTGCTAATACCATTATTGAGTGGGACCTCGGGTAACTCGAGAACTCTCCATCTGTTAACATATTTATTTGTATGTTAAGACAATAGACATGGCGTTAGAATGAAAATCAGGGATAAATTAGTTTTCCAAGATTAGAAATCTTATCTACCAAATATGTATTTGATGATATTGTGGAAAATCTATACTATTATTATAGAGGGGAAAGATTTGAGCTTGCATTAAATAGGCTCCAAAACCACAAAAGCCAACCGTAAAATAAGTTTTAAATCAGTCGAGTCACACTACCGCAGTGACAAAACTCAGCGCAGACAAAGTGACTGGCAAATGCTAGCCTTTTATAATTTACAAGCTTTATCATAAAATATATGGAATAAAACTATTTACGAATTTTAGTGTGGAACATAATATTTACTTGGGGGTGATGATTTCCTTGTAGGTGAGTATTTCTGGTCGCGTGTTGGCAGCGACACTTTGCGGGATGACGATGTTATCGATGTCGTAGGAAGGACGACGTGCGCGAGACTCCGTGCTCGAACGACCGCGACATCTGTATTTAAACAAACAAAGTATATAGTTGGTGCATTGACCTCTATAAAGGGACCGGCAATAAGACGTAGTATTTCGTGCCTATGTGATCATAGTCAATTTGGCGCTGATGGTAGTGGCAGTTGGCCTTCGAACCAACAATGGACATAGTTAATTGAGAAGTAACATCAACAAACTCATTTAAATAGGAACTATTTATCAGAGATCAGTGGGTTGGTACCATTATAGGTGTAGGTATTTTGTTAATCAATATCTTCCCTTACCTTTCTTTCCCGGATGTTGAATTATCTTCTTCTCTTTCCTTTTCTTTAATTTTTCTTGATAATGGAGGTCTACCTCGCTTCAATCCTGAAAATAGAGTTCATAAAGTTAAGTTATTATGTCTTAAAAAAATTAATTGATAAAATTACAACACCAAGGAAAGTGGTTATATACAAAGTGCGATTTGAATTAACTAGGATTGAACTAGAGGCCAAGGTGATTCAAACTAGAATGTAATCTGAATACTAACTTGTGGGATGTTTCTTGATAATGGTGTTAGAATTGTTGTGTGGGCTGGTGACGGTGGCTGGTGCGGTGGTTGGTGCGGTGTTGTGGTTGGCACGCGGCGGGCCGGCGTGGTGCGCGCCGCGGTACGCCTTGTTGCATCGCGACCGGAACCACGGCCGCGATGTTAGCGCGCTCATGTGGATCGCAGGCGAGATGTCTGAAATCGTAAACAAACAAAAACATATATTTTGATTCCTTATAATACAAAACCCTTACAAATTCCTTATTTATAATTTGTATATATTACAAGAAGTTTTTTTTAACACTTTTCAAATATCAGGTCATCAAATAATATTATTCATGAATTTATTATTTCGACATAAAAATTGATAGACAATCATTTAGAGACTAATAGGTATAGGTAATAGGTATAAGGGCAGGTTGAGAACAATAATTTAGACACTGACGACTAAATTATTTTCCTGTTCCAATATAACGCTACATTTAGGATAAATTAAAGGAGAAGAAATCAACTACTTTAACGTCTTATGTTGCGTTGAAGGAGATAAAAATTTTAACTTAATGTGAAAAACTCTGATATTGTATGTGGTGCGGACCTTTGACGTCACTGAGCACAGGATGGTACCCAGGGTCAACGAGGGCTACGCGCTGTGCGGGCGGTAGCGCAGCCCAGCAGCGCGGCTGCGTGGCCTCGGCGCGCCCCGTGCACACCGCGCAGCTCTCCATCGGGTGTCGGCAGCTGCATCTGAAAGATAATCATACCAAGCCAATAAAACATATGTACAAAGGAGCAGAAAAATGACTGTGAAATGGTTTATTTAAAAAAAAATCGTCTAGTTAATCCAGAGGTTGTGTTGAATCTATCTAAAATTAGTCTAATCTAAATATATTGTAATAAAACATGCTTACTTTACATCCGAAGGTTTAGCAGCCTTAGGAGTTGCAATATGCAGATTGTGCATCTGCAACAACTTTCTCTTCTTGAAAGTGTCCCTCCTCAGGGGACGCACTCGGGCGCAGGTCGCCACGCCGTCGTCTCCCGGCAACGAACCCTCATAGCCTACTGGTTCACCTTCCAACTGCACAGATCCTTTTGCTTCACGGACCTGGAAGGATAAATTATAGGATAAACAAAAATACACTTCTTATGTGCCTCTAAAACTATCTCAATCCATAGAAAGTAGGATGACTAAAAGAATGGTACATTTATTTTACTTAATCTGTGGCTACAGAATGAGTTCAACCTGTTTCAAAAATAAAGAAAACTAGGAATATTTTAGTGTGAGTTTGGTCATTTTAAGAATATGATGTAAATATATACAATACTTTCTCTACTATTTTAAGGCAAAGATTGAAATTGATTAGTCATTATTTTTCTTTGCCAATCTTACTTAATAAAAACAGACTTAAAATTTATTTGGACATAGAAGAAGCACTTGGTTACGATATATGAAACTCAACAATAAATGTGTTTCAGGTTGGAACATGTCCATCAGAATAACATTTACATGTTTAAACAGCTAAAAGTGAAGCCAAGGTCATGGTTTAGTATAAGCATTGGACTTACGCTATTTTTTATTTAACCTCTAATGGAGTTTCTATGTTCCCCAATCAAGAGACATTTGTTTCTTTATGTTTATAGTGATAACAATATTAAAATAAAACAAAAAAAATGTAAAAAAATTTTACTCAAGACTAGGAGAAATGGATTTGCAGTAAATTTTTCAATATAGTGTGAAAAAGTCTTAGTTTAGTTTTTTATTATACAGTAAAAAAACACATAAATACACACAGACAACTTTTGTACTATGATTTTAAAGCACCAGTCACTTGTATAGACACAGCACAGCAAAGACATACCTGCTTGTGCAGTTCATTGTGCTGCCGTATCTTGTACTCCAACTCTTGGACCTGTGCCTGCAGCCAACACCAGCGTGCTGCGATTGAAGCTCTCGCCTTCTGCCATGACCACAATGCTCGTTTCTCACTGGAATCAACAATAAGTTCATTATGAAATGACATTAACACTTTGAATAAAAAAGTAGGCAAAATTAATTAATCATCTTATATATATTGTCAATCTGTCTTATATTTTAGAGTCTGTAGTATAGTATCATCTTCATCTAAAATTCATTTAGTTACAGTGATGCCAAAAAAAACTACCTTTGGTTTCCTTATAAATATTAAATGGTATGAGATACAAGCCTTGAGTTGATCCCTTTACAAAAGTCCTTGACCCAATAAAATCAAAACGTGCGTTAGTGTATCTTGTAACTTAACTTCTAAAAATGTCTTAATAACTTTTAAAATAAAATCCAAATTGTCATACATTGATAGCTAATTTGCTAGTTTTTACTCTTGAACTTAAATATAGAATATATTTTGAACTTCTATTGCATGATGCAACACATAGAGTAATCTGACCTATTAGAAATTGTTGTGCAATAATATAAATGTGAAAACATTCTAATAGTAATATGTCATAATGAACATTAAAGTAAAAATTTATTTTCTAAAATCTCATCTAATTGACCTACTTTGATAACAGTTATAAATGGTTTCAGTTTCAATACTGTAATTAGAGCAATACAATGAATAATATTGAACCAAAATCTAATTAAATTCATAAACATTTTACTTATATTTCTTACGGTATAGGCAGAGTATTTGAATTTGCACATTTAAAAATTTATATGGTCCTTATTTACACTGTTCTGCACCAAATTAAGGCATTCTCTTTAATGTATTCTTCAAAGGTTCCTCACAAGAAGACTATTAAGACACATAATAATGTGTCTTAGTAGTCTTCTACTAACTATTAATAAATAATCATTAGTTTATGTTAATTACGAAATTACTCAACATACAGAATTATAGGTAAAATCTTAAACATTTAGCAATGATCTTTCTTACTACGACCTTTGCAATATATCTAAACCTTTTTTTACAGATAGTAAACAACAACAATAATAAACCTTTTTTACTGGGCATTGGTTTTTTTTTTAAATATTCCATTGTTATTATAGATGTACACAAAATGGAAAATTCCTCTGCCTCCTTTAATAAATTATGCTTACAACACCCACTTTATATATTGACCTACAGAAAATCTTTTGTTTACATACACATAAGATCTAATTTACTATCAATTTAGTCAAATAAGTTAATTTGTTATTTAAACAACTGATGGAATGTATGTTTTTTATTAAAATAAATTATTATTATTATTTATTGCCAAAAGTAAAGATGACAATTTTGCTTACTAGAATTTTTTTATGGTCTAAAATAATGATTATACTCACATTGCCATTTTTTCCTGATGGGGATTGTTATAACTAACAGCCTCGTCATTGCTCTCTGCTCCAGAGGATGATGCTGTGGCATCTGAGTCCAGTTGCACTTTAACCATGGACAAGTGTGAACGCAAAGCTCCTGCTGTGTCCTCCAAGCCCGCCAATGTTCCTGATGATATCCCAATTGACGCAGATCTTGACGCATCCCCTCTAGATGTACTGGCACTGTAATATTTAGGCCCAACAACCGTTCTAGATGCAGCACTTGCTTGTAATGTAGCACTGGTCTCAATTTTCTTCAAGAAAGCTTTTAAACCCATTGGTCTTCCTCCACCATCTTTCCTGGCACCGCGGGTGGATTTCTCAAATGTCTGAGCCACCTCCTCCGATATTCTTTTGCCTATAGCTCTAGCCTGTAGTATTCGTAATCGCCGCTGCAAAAAAGCGCAACGTCTTTCTAACCTCACTTGGAGGAGTTTAATTTTGTCCTCGGTGGTATCGCCTTCAGAATCAACATTTTCAGTCAAATCGAAGCCAGATAACGGAAAAATGGCATCAGTTTCGCCCGTAGAGAGTGCATCGCCGCCAGATTCTAAAGTCTTGATAGCTTGGAGAAGGTCGGCTTGAGCGATATCACTACTGCCCAAGTCGACCAAAATTTGTTCCATTTCTTGCGAGTCCTTAGCGAGGCTAGGTTGGTTTTGGAGGCCCATTTCTTCCTCCATGTGTGTTGCGAGGTTGTCGACGGACGCGAGCGCCCGTCTAGGAGGCTTCTCGAAGTTTTCAATCGTTTCGAAGTGATCTTGGGAAGCGACGGAGAGCGCCGGGGCCATGACCCGGGCGCCGCCCGTCGCTGACGCCGCTAGGCGCGTCAGGGCGGGCTCTCTAAATTAACCATCTTCCCCTTATGTAACAACACTCAACACTACTTCACAACACTGTAACCACTGCAACACAATTCGTGGCAACCATTATCAGTCTCCCGCCGGTTCTATGCACCATATACACAGCGCGGAGCCGCTCGCCGCGCACCTGAAAACAACGATTAACACCTATTACAAGCCGGTCTTTGTGTATTTAAACAGCGTGCACCCATTCTATATCAATATCGCACGGTAAACAATAAATATTCATCACAGATATCCACATTATTCAAAATTTGACCCACGTGATAACGAAAAGAATATGCTAGCGATCGCAGTTGCTTGTTTCTGTATGATATGAAACAGGAAATGATACACTTCTAAAACACTTTTACGGGAAGCCAATGATGCGTCGCGTTAAATAAATTGAACTGTATGGCAAGTAAAAATTTATGATCACTTGAGTACTAAAAAGAAACAATATTTTGGTTTTATATGACGGGTTATAGTTCAAAACTCTATTAAAATAACCAATTTATACTAGCGAACAAACGTATTCTGCACCAAACACTAGATGCTGAGAAAAGTTGTGCAAAAGAGATGGCGAACATGACATGAATTGGTACTTGCGCGGTAAAGTCAAATGTGTAATGATAAAGTACTTGTAATTAAAGCAGGTAGATGCGTACAATGGAAATATAAGGACAAAACATTGACGAATTAAAAAATAACTACGGAGCAACCTTTTATATTTATTATGTAATTTCAAATAACAAATCGTTCAAATGATAGCATTTACTTTACCGCCACGCTAATGTTCAACAATGGAAACCATTTTGATGAAATTATGACGAAATTCATAATAATATGTTAGTATTGCTATCTTTTGTGTTAATAAAAACAAGAATATTAAAAATTAATGAATGTCAGTTGAAATAGTGCAGTTCTTTATTTACATTCTTGTTTTGTTTTTAAAAATTACTCAAGTTCCCATTTCCGGTTTATTTAAAGATACAGATTATATTAGAACGTAGCTGAATAATTTGACATGATTAAACCTTTATATTTAAAAGAAAGCTATCTCTAGTTTGAAATTTTTGTTTTGTTATAACTAAGTATAACAAAATAATAATTAACTAAGCAAAGAATTGTGATTGTATTATAGGCTAATAAAGGACTTAAAATTGCGTACTTCGTAAACGCGCAGCTTACGTCACATTATACGTAATTGTATAGGACGTTATAATAAGAATTATAAAAAAGTAGGAAATGGCGAAAAGAAGACCTACTTATGATGCAAAATGCAAAGCAATTCTTCTTCTTTTTTTATTTAGATTTTAGATTTAGACAAAATATCTTTAATTATGTGTTACTATGCTTGCTTGCTTCAAAGTCTTGACTTATCTTCATGATTCTCTCGATTCTGACTGTATTGCAGTAGATTTATGTAAATAAATGAGTTAATAACTTTTTTTCTGTACTATAAACTATTTTTATATATATATAAGACACTTAGAGTAAATGAATAATATAGCTCAGTGCATTTATACACATGTTGCTTTGCACATAAAATGTATATTAGAAGTTCCTGATTTACTGTGTGACAAAATTACAACATGATTGTTTGAATAACTTGAGGTTCACCATGTTATTGAACATTGTATTAAATGAACTTTAGGTTGAAAAGCAATGAATCAAAAGAATCTCATATTAAGGCATTCTTTAAGATACTATACCTGAATTATTCAAGTTTAAATAAAGAAGTTGATATTGTACTCACCTGCGTTTTAAAAAAATTTGTATCTTCATTTTCATCATCTTTCGGACTCTTATTGCGGCTAATACCTAAAACGGCCAAAAAATATATCATAATTATGAACTATCAAGTTAATTAATATTAATCTATCTTAGTATACATGTATTAAAATGCATAAATCAAATCCTTTGATGTGGTGTTAAAACACCTTTAACACCACATCAAAGGATTTGATTGATGTTTTGCATCCATAAAATAACTGTAAACTATAAAACTACAGTTTGAATATAAAAATCATTCCACCAATACAAAAGTCCCGATAAGGAACTAACTTGGGTTGTATTGTAGCATTTTATTACATTATGTTTCTCCCTACCAAAGCTAGGGTTGATTGCTAAACGAAACATAATTTACTACCACTTAAAATAGAGTATATGATGTTTGGCATTGCTAACACAATTAGATCTTTAATCTATGATTCAATTTTTTTCAGATATTAGATTTAGAAGTAAATTATAAGTAAAAAATGTACACTTTTATGAATGTTAAAAAATGAAAATGTTGCAACCTAAAGTTTGTACTGAATAATCCTACAAGAATTTCATCATAAAATATTGTAAGCTTGTTGCATATGAATCATATACTCCTGTATGCACTTGTCAATAATTTTTTGCTTAAAAACTTAAAGAAATGCAAAATTTTAATTGATGTAAAAAAATTACTTTTCCTGAAGTTAGATGTCGTTGAAAATCATTAGGAATCATTTAGTATAGACAATGAATATAAAGAGTATTTCATTCCATTGAATATTTACTAAATGGAAGTTTAACTAGGCCAGCTGTAGTCAAAATGTACCCTAAATTATTAAAATACTAAATTTAAAGACAACTATGAAATATTTTGCTCTGAACTTTCGGTATTCGGTGAAATTGAGAAGGCAAACTATGTGCAAAGGACTAATAGTTTTTCAAAACTTATATTTAGTTTTAGCTATCCTTTTCTAATTTCTTCAGGAATAAATATATTATGATGTGTATTAAGAGTAATCTACTGAAATTTAACATTTATGATGTATCTATCATTTAATGAAATATTTTTGATTCTTAGAAATGCATTAGTATTCAAAAAACAAATTGAAATTGTTTGCTGAATATAAAAAATATTGATACCAAGAATCAATATTCTTTTTAAATATAACAATGTAAAATATTCACAAAATAACAAATAAAGTTTTATAGACTTGAAAATTATTTTAACTTCCACAATAAAAACAAAAACTTAACTAGTATAATCATTTTCAATAAAAATATTCTGCCAAGCTGAAAACCTAAAAAATGCTGAACTAATTTCTTAACTTTGAAAAAGTACCAATGAACATTTTATTATATTTGTTGGATACATATATAAAAAGGTCTATTTTAGATTTAGCAGTAAAAAGTGCACATTTACCTAATTTCCCATATTTCTTATTCTGAATGAGGAAATCTATTTATTTATATAAATAAAATATCTTACCTTTGCACGCAACGACTATATGAAGGGGGGAAAGGAAGATTAAAGTGAAGTAAGGATACGGTACGGTACGAGAATGTTGTGAAACGAAATCTCTTACTGTTATTGTAAAAACTTTTGGCTATCAAAATTGGAATGGCTATACATATTTATTAAATTGGAGTTTAATTTAAATAGTTTAGCTTTGTAAAATATTTGAAATATTTTACCTTGCGTAGAAAAGTAAAACTTGAGTGGTTACCAATTACCATCAAATGCATGATACAATTTGTTCAGAATTTTTAAGTTAAATGAAGATAATTTAATTTCTACTAAACAGGTAGAAAAATGCAATTAAAATTTAATCAACGATTTCAAAGTTATTTTAAAAACTGTTTAATTTCTATTCTTATCCGAGAAAAGGAGCGTTTTTCGTCAATTTTTCAGATAAGTACAGCAGAGTTAAAGACTATTTTTAATTATCTAAGCGACAGTAACAGTGGCTTAAATTTCCTTATCATAGGAAAAATTACAAATTAAATTCGATTATATTGACCAAGACGAACCTTTCTGTAGTTTTTCCGAAATAAAATAGTGAAAAATCTTCAACAATCGGATTAAACTATAAGTTGGTCAGTGTTAAGCTGTAAGTTATAAAATATATCTTATTGATTTACAATGCTGAAACTTGGGATAAAAATCAAGAATTAAGGGATTTTTCCGTTACTTAAAACACTCAGTAGGTATTAAATAGGCTGTTTTAATAGAATTTATAGCATTTTGTTATTGCAACAAATCATATATTACGTGAGATTTATTATCTTTATTGGCTATGTCAATATTTTAATCTGTTTGAAGGCGCGCAAAACTGTTCTTTGGCGCAATGTTTCTTTCATAGTTTTAAAATATCCAAAATCCAGTTTGATTTCTTTGTCAATAAGTTTGTATTTTTGTGAATTGCAGATTTTATAGTAACCATGAATAACGAGAGTTTTCAACTGCACTCGACCCAATTTACACCGTTAAAAAACAAACGTTCTAGACTTTTATTACCCAGAGAAGATACGTTAAATCTATCGTCGATATTAAATGAAACGTCTATTTCAAGACATTTAAACGATACAAGTTTACGACAGATTTTAGATGAATCTGCTACTGTTGTGAACGCTGGAAATGCTGGTGTTGGATTAAGTGTAGCTTTCTTTAATATAATACAATCGAGCCGGCACAGCGATGTCTTACATACATTACAGAGGTTAGCTCAAGTTTGTTATGAGTCTTTAGAGCTAGTTGAACCATGGAATAGATATAATGCTCAAAATTATTGGCTAGCTGAAGAAGCTAATACGTGGGAACTTTTATATTCTTTATATGCGGATACACTAGCAGATCATCCAGAATCACTCGACAGCTTGATAACAGATGTAACCTTGTCGCAACAGACGTTAGTCGACGCTCTATTTAAAACCGATTCGGAACTACGGCTTATGCTCTTGCTAGTTAATTGGCTCGAAACTACTGCAGCATACCAAGAAGAGGCAACAAAGACCTCAGCAACAGTAGTAGGGAATGACATTCATTGGGGAAATACTCTTCATGAGCTACTTATTGGAAATAGTTTATTTAATAAGGAGAAAAATACTTCTATGGTGACTTGTTTGGATCCTGATGCACCAAGACGTCAAAAGAAAACTATTCACTCAGATGATCAAAAGGATGACAATGATTTATGTAAGCGAATTTTTACAGAAGTAAGATGTGGTAACTTTGAAAAGGCAGTGTCTCTTTGTATCAATGCTGGTCAAGCTTGGAGAGGTGCTGCACTGCAAGGCTGGAGGTTGCTTCATTATTTACCAAGAGAAAATTCTAATTCTCCTGTAGAAATAGCCGGAAATCCTTCTAGAGACCTTTGGAAATGGTGCGCTTTGGGAATAGCTAATAATGTTACAGAAAATATGCATTACCGAGCAACAATAGCTATTCTTTGTGGCTCTTTAGCAAGTTCTATTCCAATCTGCCAAGGAAATTGGGAAGATTTGCTTTGGGCACATCTTCGTGTACAAATTGTTACAAGAGTGGATAAATTCTTACATGAGCATCATGCCACTGCAGAAGCAAACACTACTTCTACAGAAGTCATGGATTTATTACAGAAAGAACTGCATATAGATGAAATGTCTTTGCAACAAATATTCAGTGCTATCAAAGCACTTATGAATGGTAAACGAGAATCAAATTATCAAATTTGCCAGAGGTATCTGATGTTAGGTAATGTAAGAGCAATAATGCAAGACTCTTTGAATTGGCTGGA